ATAGTATGCATTCCACACACGATTTGATGATAAAAAGGCAATGGATTTCACGTGTGTTGTAACTAGGGAAGATCTTTCTTGAATAACAAGCTAAATTTCAGTGATTTTTCTAATGCAAAAAATATTATATGAATATGGTGCACAAGTCATGTGGACTACTTTTATGTAACTTTTACAGTGCTTTTTTGTCCTTTTTGAAGCTTGACAGCTATGGTCACTTTAAATGGATATTTAATTCATTTGTGGTTGAAACTTAAAACTTATATGCATGTGTGTGTATTTATATAAACAATAAATATACACACAGTACACACACATATATTATGTAAACAAAAACTTTTATTTTGGATGCGATTAATCGCGATTAATCATTTGACAGCACTACTTAAAATATTTTGTTATCTGTCTGTCTACCAATGCTCTGAAGTCCCACCTGCATTAACATTGAAAATAGTATGCATTCCACACACGATTTGATGATAAAAAGGCAATGGATTTCACGTGTGTTGTAACTAGGGAAGATCTTTCTTGAATAACAAGCTAAATTTCAGTGATTTTTCTAATGCAAAAAATATTATATGAATATGGTGCACAAGTCATGTGGACTACTTTTATGTAACTTTTACAGTGCTTTTTTGTCCTTTTTGAAGCTTGACAGCTATGGTCACTTTAAATGGATATTTAATTCATTTGTGGTTGAAACTTAAAACTTATTGTTCTAACCGACTCTTCTTGTTTTCCAGGAGCCCACTGTTCTTCTACACCACTGGAGTTATACTAGGAGTCATCGCCACATTTGTTTTCCTGACGCTTGTGCTCCGAAACTTCGTACCAAAGGTGTGTAATGCTTCTGTCACAACCTTGATCATGATACACAGTATCACATGTTTCCTCACACTGATCAAACATGTTGGATGAGTAGTATGAGTTTAAGCCTGTCATGCTGGCATTGTCTCCGCCGATGAGATTAAAGATAAAGGGAGGTGGAGACTCACTCCTCGACCCAAACATCCTCAGGCATGTACATCATCGTAAGGATTTGCTGTGCAATCAATTACAGAATGATTGGCAGCTCACAGTTTTGGGGCAGGTCAGAAGGCCAAGCACATTCACTAAGGCTCTGTTTTTCCCCCCAGCGAGGGCTGTTCCTGGTGTTGTTGGGCGCTGGCTCTGGTCTGTCCTACATGGGGATCCAGAGGGTGTTAAATGAATGGGATGACATCGTGACCGAGCACTGGATGGAATTACTGGGTAACTAGGCAACCCTTTTCTGTTACAACCCATCTTGCCCTGTTTTCCTTTGCAATCATGTCATCAGCTAATTACATCAGACAGTAAGCCTTCGCTATTAATGTTAATAAATGGTCTTTCAAATGTACCTTTTGTACAGGTTTGCGTTTCAGTCGAATGCCACATGTTGTCTGTTAATTTGCTTGACGTGTTCTTTATACAATAGAATAATTACTGTACATGTCATTTAGACAGATTATCCTTCTACACTCTCGCTGCATGTTTCATCAGCTGAAGTGCTCGCATTAGTACATGCCAGCATCACATAGTAACAGTCTAGAGCAGATTGAGATTCACCTTTTGTATCGTATATCTTGGCTCCGTTAGTGTTATAATATATGAGGGCCAAGTATTTTGAATGCTGAAATGAATGCCTCTTGACTGCACAATAGACTATTCTCTGCCAAATCAATTTCCCTCTTCAAGCACTCGCAGTATGTAAATGCATCGGTGTTTGAATGCGAGAACCACAGGCATAGATTAAGGGAAAGAAGCTGCAGTGCTGCTGGAACATTGATTTCTATGCCTAAAACAAAAAGGCTCTGGGAGGATTACAGCCCCAGTGAATGTCTGCTTTTTTGGCCCTTTTATTTGCTCTTTGTTTTTTCTTCTTCTTTGTTTTCTCAGATCTACTGTAACATTAAAGGAAATGTTCAGTCAAAACGGTTAGGAATCACTTTATAGTGAGTAAATAATGACACAGTAATTTAATAAAACCAATTTTGTTACATTTATTTATCACCATTGTTCTTTGGATTGTATAATAGAGTATTTAGCAATCCATTGCTTTGTTGCAGCAATAGCCCATAATGTTTGCATTCAGTGAGTGTAGTAAGCTTGGCAAATATACCACATGACATCCATTATTTTATATTGATGTTACACAGTCACACAATGCACATTTTAGCAAGTGAAAGCTTGCCTTTAAGGAATGGTTCAACGTGACACTGGGTTGTTTCAATGTGTATAGATCTATTGTGACTGTTGCAACCTGAGTGTTGTATGTACGTATTATTACTGTTGCTTTATGGGCTGTTTATGACAGGCAAGCTCAGGCAGGCTGCTTCTGAATTACACAAATTGGGTGTGCTTTTTTATTGTTACCTTACTACATAAAATGGCAAGGTGCTGTATGTATACATGCGTGTGTAGGGAGGTCAATAATACCAAACTTGACATTTACAATTTTTTGACATTTTCTCTTTCTCTGCAGTTTATGTGCTCATATCTGGCTTATTTAGCTTTGCTGTATGCTATAAACATGGCCCTATCACCAACAAACACACCCTCAATTTGATGACCTGGTGTATGCAAGTAGTGGGCATGGTTTTGGTGTACTATGGGATCACATTCCCCCCCGCCTGCTACATACTGATCATGTTCCTGTTGTGCTGGAAGATTGTGCCCTTGGCCTGGAGCCTTCTGCACTTGATCTGGAGTCTTCTAATGTGGATTTGCAGGTAAGAAAAGCACCTCAAACTGTGAAACAGGAGAGAAATTTTTAGGGCAGGGCTTTGTATTTTCCCCATCCAATTGCATTCAAAAACTGATCATGGTTACTTACCAAAATGAAGCCAGGAGGTTGGAGGAAAGAATTAAAAAGGGCTGGTGACACTATACTTTTGGTTCCATTGACTTCCATTCACACAAAAGCAAATACAGGAGACAGAAGCTCATGCTAATTATGCTGCGCACCAAAGTTCAAGTTTGGTGAACTCTGCCCTGCGAATTTGTATAACGTGAAAACATGGTGTAACCAATAGTAGATTGATAAGTCACGGCATGACGTCTTAGCTGAATTAAAAGAATGAAACTTTAAATCTGTAAGAATGCAGTGTTGCAATACAGTGGAGTAGATTGTCATCATTTTTGATCATAATTTTTCATTTTGGATGTGTAACATGTTGAATTCTCTTTTTAAAAAAAGACTCAAAGATTATGCTCAAAGTCTAGTGTGACCACGGTTTAAGAAGGATTCATAATGTCAGCCAAATTAGAAAGTTTTCCCAGAGACAAAATCAATGTTTCTTAACATATTGGCGTCACACACACACACACAAAATCTTCAGTCTTCTTTTTTGCTTTGTGCAAATAATGTGCAGAGATGAATTGTACACAATAAGACATGCATTAAGAAAAATAAATAGGGTAATTTTGAGTTTATGCTGACTAAGTCTAAGATGGAAACTGAAAGCTAATCGTATGCTGAAATTAACCTTTGAACAGGTGAAATAGGCCTATGTAATCATAAAAATTAGCATGTATTAACTTTGACTTTCTGGCTTCAGTCTCTTTTACTCATTCCTGGGCTTGTTCTGGAGGAAGAAACGGCCCAAGGTCAGGCTACTGACTGAGGAGGAATACAGAGAGCAGGGAGAGATCCACACCAGAGCCTCTTTGGATGAATTACGGGAGCACTGTAACAGGCCTGGCTTTCCTGCATGGGACACTGTGTTGAGGCTGCGATCACCACATAGGTATTTATATTTTGTATTCATCAAAATAAGCATGTTCAAAGGTCACACGTACTGTATACATCCCATTTTATTTAATGATGTTTCTCACCAGTTGTTTCTGCCTCTTTCAGGTATGCAGAGTTTCTGCGCAGTGGCAGCCACATCACCCAAGAGGAGCTTCAGAATCATGAGAATCAGTACGGGCTTGGCGGGGCGTACTACGAAAACATGCTCTTTAACAGCAGCTCCAGCGACACCCAGTCGCACAGAGGAGAAGCAGAGGACACTAGTGAAGACGAGCTGGAGAGAAACAGTCCTCCAACCCAAAATAACGTCCCCAGTCCTGATGTATATACTCCAGCCGTCTGCCCGTATCCCCCCGTCACCTACACCCCTCAGCCAGAACCCATGGATCCAGAAGACCAGGATTTCTTTTAAAATTGTCCTCCTGTCTGTAGGATGAGTGATTTTATGTTCATTTTAAAGAGACTTTTTTAATTGCAAAATATTTTTAGGAAGGAATGACTCTAAGGAACATTAGTAGGTCCATAAGGATTGTAAAAAATAATCTTTAGCTCTCATTTGCGTTTAAATGATCTCTTTCAGACGGCGTGGGCTGTTATATTTTTTTAGCAGGAGTTTGTATTCTACTACCCAAGTGATGCAGAGCTGGGAATAACACTGTATTGTACATACTGTATGTTAATAGATAGTGACTGTGCTGCTCTTAGGTATATCAGATCATCAAGACATTATTGCAGTCGCTAAAACATTTGCCTCAAATGCTCAAGACAATGACTCAACATACAATACCACAGCATTTATGTAATTTAAGGAAACAGTGTCCTCTAGTGTTGGTTAAAGAAACAGTTCACTTATAAGTGCAAATAGTGTCTGTTGTTTACTCGTCCCAATCTTAATCTAAACCTCTATGTCCTCATTGGAACAAGTAGGGGACGTTTATCAGAATCTACAAATTATCATATAGTGAAACTAAACGAGGACATACTGTTCCTAAAAGCTACAAAACTGACATCAAAGCATCTTAATGTCTTCTGACGTCATATGATAGAATAGCAGAACGTATTATTATTGAATAACAACTAAAATTAGATCTATTTATCACACAAAGCTATCCTAGTGGCTGTTCAAAGAAAATTCTTTTTTACATTCCACTGCTACTTTTTCATTGTTTTTTTTTGTATGTATTATTATTAACTAGCTATACATGTTTGACCATTGAGTTGACTTTTAGTCGTTTTTGGAGCTCACAAATGATAAAATGATAGGAAACCTCAAGGGACATTGTGATTAAAAAGCTTCTGCTTTTACGTAAATTTTGGCGTTCTCCCTAGAACCTTTTTCATTGGCAAAATGTTTGTATTCCCCCCCCCAGAAACTTTGTGTTTTTGGGAGAATGCAAAGGTTCTTTGGGAGCACAAAAGCACTAAAATATTTTTTCCTCCCATCTGATATATATATATATATTATTATTATTTTCAATCACCATGACCTTTAGTGCAGGGATGTCCAATCCTAGTCTTGGAGGGCCGATATCTGAGTGGATGGTGCATCAACTCATGCGGGTTTACATATCTACATGCTTCCATTTCAATTCTTTCCTTTTTATTGAACTTTTATCTGAAGAATGTATGTTATTATAAACATTTCAAGTTTTTACAGTCTTTTATATTGCCATCTAATTTAATACAAAAAGACAAATGGCTAAATTCTCAACCAGAATATTGTATTGTTTCATCATATGTAAACATAAGCAGAGGTCACTTATACACAAAGCTGCGAGGCAGATGGTTTCAGACACCATATAGTGCAAATCAATACCTTTTGATGGTTTGTAATAGCTACTATACTCTTGGTTTTATGCATAACTGCGTATATTTAACAGAACACAGCATGGCTTTTACATATTTTATTATATACAGAGTAGATGCTTTTATATTTAAATTTGGTCACAAGAAATATGGAAGCACGATTAGCAAAATAACATACAGAGTGCAAAGCAACTATGCTTCTCTATTGCAAAGTCCCATGTATATTACACTGAAGGACCTCAGCTGTTGGATTATAAGCATTAAACGCTCAGTAATGTGCAGATCTCCTCATAGACACTGACCTTCAAGCATTCTGTACAGAGACTCGCAGGCCCTTTGTGACTAAGGCAAGACATCAACTGTGGCAGTGCAAAGCATATTGATTTTATCGCCTCGGAAAACAAATCCCTCGCTAAAGTAGAACACCTTGTAGGTCAACATATTTTTTGGTCCAAAGTCAGCTGTCACTTTTCACACCCCGTAACATGTCTCTAAATCATAAGGCTATATCCCAAACAGGTTCAGTTGATTTTGGATTGTGGTTGTGCTTTCGGAGGCTGCTGTTTGGAGTGCCCTGGCAATGGTGCCGAGTTCTCTACTGGTTCGTTTCTCCCTGCAGATGGAGACGGTTCTTCCACAGGACGGACAGGATGTGTGTTTAGAGGAATGAATGCACTGGTAGTAGGTCCTTGGGAGAGATATTCTGCTGGACTTAATGTATCGGGTTGCGAAGATGTGGATTCATCAGCAGGTGGCATCGCTGAGGTTTGCTCATTTGTCTCCTACAAGACGAGAACATAAAGGTTAAACATGTAAAATAAATGATTGAGGTAAGGTACACTTTATTTGTTAAAGGGTGTGCTAGAGTGATTTTTAAAAACATGTTTAAGTCACATTTTACCCCAAAATTTAAATAAAAAACAAAATTAAGCCTTTTTTAAAATAATTTTATGATTCTTTACATTGTAATATTATATTAATGAATATTGTGATATTTTTATTTTCCCTCTCAATTCTCATTGTCTTAATGCATCTAGATGTTTTTAAAAATAATAATATTTAACTATTCTCTATAGGGTTAAGATTAATGATACCTTTTTATTTTAATAAATATAAAGGCAGTATAACAAAAGCATAAAGCTTTTTAAAGCATAAATCCTAAAATGTAAATAATATATTTTTATTCAAATTTGAGAATCACAAGTGGTTCTAAAAAAGAATTTTAATAATATTTTTTCCTCAATTATCATTACATTATATCTAGATTTAACATTTTTCATTTATTTTTATAGGGTTAAGGCTAAAGTAAATACTGTATTTTTTAAATAAAAATAGTACAATCAATTATTACTATGATGCATTAATTTTTATTTATTTTTTTATATATTTATTTATAATTTTCCCCCCCAAGCTTTAACAGAACACTTTATACAATTAAGGTTATAACTTTTCCCCCATGATGACCCTTACCGCCAAAATAATTAAACAAAATAAAATAAAATTGCAAAAAACAACAACAATAAGAATAGGCCATTTAGGAAGAATTAAAACAAAACAAAACAAAATAAAATAAAATAAAAATAAAAATACAAGATAAACTTTACAATATTGTACACATTCACACATGAACAATATCATTATAGGAATAATAAAAATAAAGAAATAAATGAAATAATTCATTTTTAATCAAACTTTGAGAACATGTGGTATAAATATCACCAAAAATATAATATTTTGGGGTGAAATATGACCTAGACAGGTTCTTGGACATATTTCGTGAGACTCACCAACCAAGCATTTGTTTGACTTCAAATATGAGTCACTGCTTATAAAAAATAGTGTACTTTCCAGTTTAGTTCTTGTTTGTCATCTACAATGCGTCAAATGCGACAAACACACACACAGACGCCAGCATTTCCTGATTTTAAACATTTGCTCAAAAATGAAAATACACAAATATTTCAGTTGACGTTACAATAAAGAGCTTTATCTGAAGCCTTGACATGTAATACTCTCATGCAGAGAAGAGAAATTTGGACACAAAGTAGCTGAAGCACAGAAGTGTGTTTTAAGAAAAGACAAACAAAACTGACAACAGAGAAGCGTTTATTTTTGGTAAGAAGTGGGTTGTACAATGGTGTTAGTAAGACTTACGTAAATGATCCAAGAATACATTAAGAATGAGAGAGGAACAGTGACAGGACTGCATGCATTTTCGTGTACAAAAATCAAAGTGCAAAGACAGATTTTTTTCTCACCTTTCCCCTGAGAAAATGACAGCATGAATGCAAAGAGAAAGATTGAACAATTCAGTAAAGAGATCAGTATGAAATTGGTTTTCACAATAATTACATACCAAAAAGCCAAGATGACAAATTAATAGATATAAATAAGAAAATTAGCAAGAAAAATGTAATGAAATGTTATTAAATAGCAAGAGTGAAACTTTCACCACCTCCTTACGTCCACATCCCAAATCACAAAAGGTGCCACCCTACCTGCGGGGCTTGACTTTCACCACAGGGGTCTTTCTTTGACAAAGTGACCCTATCTCTGATCTGATAGAGGGCGAAAGCGATGGTGACCCAGGGGGAAGCAGAGACCACCCAGGCCGGCTTGTTGGCATCTTCTTGCTCTTCCTGATGCCTGGTTTTCTTAGGAGGCGTCTTTGATTCGGGGTTTGGCTGAGATGCGGATTGGTTCTGGACTAAGTCAATAGTGGCGATAGGCACTGGGCTGGAGGGAACTGGGATGTTCTCAGCCAACATCGAGCCCTCTGTAAAAGAGCACAAAGACGTAATCAATAAGCTGTCGCAGGTTTTACTGCAGCAACATGACCTTGTTGTTGTAAAACAGCAGGATGAAACATACTTTTATCCTCGTTCTGACCAAACAGCCACTGTATCAGAGAGAAGATGAGTAATGTGACCAGAGAGGCCATTCCGAGGCCTCTGAAGGTTTCTGCAGCACCTAAACAGGAAGTTTGCAAGATGAAAAAGGAAGCTTGAGAGGAAACAAGCCTGAAACTGTAAGATGAAAGTCATTCACACTGAAAAGCACAATCTGAAAGTGTTCTTTTTGATATATATATTCAGTGGGGGGGTCCAAAAGTCTGAGAATTTTATACAATTTTATATATATAAATATTATAATACTCTCTCTCTCTCTATATATATATATAATCAGTAGCAGTGTGAAATATAATTACAATTTAAAATAACTATCTTCTATTTGAATATATTATAAAACGTAATTTATTTATTTGATGGCAAAGCTAAATTTTCAGTATCCGTTACTCCAGTCTTAAAGGGGTGGCTCACTGGGTTTTTTCTAGGCTTGATTGTGTTTATGGGGTGCAGTCTAACATGTGTTAATGCTTCGTTTTTTAAAAAACACATTATTTTTCACATAATTGACCTTTATTCCACACCGCTCTGTCCCTTCTCTAGTGTTGGGTCGTTCTTGAACGATTCGTTATGATCTGAATGAGAGAGAGAGAGAGAGAGAGAGATGCAGAGCGTGTGCAGAGCAGGGGGACGCGAGGAACAGTATTACGAGCCGCTGCTTTAGAACATTGATTTTGAAACTTGTGAATCCATTAGAATTGTTAGAAGACAGAATCGCGATTCTTAAATGAATAGATTTTTACGTGCACCTCTAGTTTTCTCTTCCTCTTCTCTAAAGCAGCGCAGCATGGCCTCGCCCCCTTTGCTGCCTTTTCCCGAGGGCGGGGTTTATCTGGGTTTGTGATGTCACGAACCCGGGAAGTAACTCGTTGTAGTCCCTACCAGCCATTTTTGTAGGCATTAAACTGCCAGAATTTTAAAAGACGATATCTCCGTTTGCATTGAACTTTCAGCTTCGTAACTTTACAGATATTGTTTATGCTCAAACAGCAACATTAGACACTAATTAACATTAAAAAAGTGAAATAGCAATGAACCACCCCTTTAAGAAAATCATTGCTCCTTCAGAAATCATTCTAATATGCTGTTTTTGCTGCTTAATATTTTTGTAGAAACTGTGACATTTTGTTCAGGATTCGGGATGAAAATGAAAATAATTTATTTGAAAAAGGTTTTTTTTAGATTTAGATTTTGTTTTAGAACATTGTTACTTTTGATCAATGTAATGCATCCTTGTTGAATAAAAATATTAATTATTTTCCCTTTACTTACCCCAAAATTAATTGGTGTATCAAAGTTTTCCACAAAAATATTAAACAGCAAAAAACTATTATCAACACTGATAATAACAAATATTTCTTGCGGACCAAATCAGCATTAGAATGATTTCTGAAGGATCATGTGACGCTGAAGACTGGAGTAATGGCTGCTAAAATTCAGCTTTGCCATCACAGGAACAAATTACATTATAAAATATTATACATAAAAGAAATATATATTTTAAATTGTAATATTATTTTACAGTTTTACTGTTTTTATTGTATTTTTTGTCAAATAAGTTTTAAGTTAGACATTTAAAAATGAAATCTAAGAATTTATTCATATTTAACAAACAAACAAACAAACAAAATCAATCCATCATGCAATATTTTCAATTTGGTCTCAGACTTTTGGATACAGAATAATTTAAAGTGAATTCTACCTACAAGAGTCTGAATCTTTGTAACTGTGTCTAAATATATAACAACATCAAAGCATGCATGAGGCACATGTGTGGAATGTCTGTGACGTCACATGGTCTTTGTTGATGTCATACCGAAGTAGTTCACAAAAACCCCTCCTAGCATGGCTCCACAGCCTCTCCCCAGCCCCAGGTGCAGCCCCTGCAGGATCCCCTGAGCCGACGTGCGCAGAGCTGGAGGAACAGCAGCACTCAAATACGAGATGCATGCCGCCCACACTGCTGCATGTGTCAAACCTGCACGACACATCAACATAAATAAACACTTGTGCATCTGCTTGAATGGATAAACATAGACTACTCATGTGTTCTTTGTAATACATATGAACCACAACAATAAGACAACATTTGTGACCCTGGACCACAAAACCAGTCATAAGGGTCAATTTTTTTTTAATCATCTGAAAGCGGAATGGCCGGGCTAGCGTGAGCGGAAGCCCCGGCTTAGCGTGAGCTGAGGCCGGGCTAGAGTGAGTGGAAGCCCCGGCTTAGCGTGAGCTGAGGCCGGGATAGAGTGAGCTGAAGCGGCGGGCTTGAGAACGGCGCTCCCGGCGGATCCGACGAATGAGCGACAACCACATGTGACGACCCTGGGCTGGATTCCGCTTCGTCCACCCCTTTAATATCTGAATGATTTTTGGCATAAAAGAAAAATCAATAATTTTGACCCATACAATGTATTTTTGGCTATTTCAACAAATATACCCCAGCGACTTAAGACTGGTTTTGTGGTCCAGGGTCACATTTGAGGTTGATAAACAAACAAATATGAATAAAATGTTGAAAAGCAGCTCTGTACAGATATTACGTAATATGACTTCAGTCTGCTACATGGGATCATTAATCAGGAACCAAATGCAAAAACAAAATAGGAACAAAAAACAAAAACGCAAAATATTAATAATTAAAGCTGAGAGTCAGCAGTATAACATGTTATTTTAGCCTGTGTCAAAATAGTAAAAGTGAAAATTCAATAAAAATACTTTATATATTAAATAACTATATAGTAATGCCTGTTTTGTATAATTTAGTGCATTTAACTCACAAATGAAAGGTTCATCTTATGGGATTATTTGATTATTAACTTATTATTACTTGAATAAATTTATCTTTTGGTTTGCCTATATAGCCTAATATAACATGAATATTCATTAAAAAAATAACTGTAAACAACTAAATTTCGCTCTTCGTTTTTGTGCCTAAAAACTTCCTTTAATATGTTTTTTGTTGTATTGGATTGATCTCACACTGTATTTTCATATTCCTCTGTTTCTTTAGAACTTATATAAATAAGCAGTCTTAAACACTGATATACACTACCAGTATTTGAACAGTAAGATTTTATGTTTTTTAAATTAGTCTCTTCAGCTCACCAAGCCTGCATTTATTTGATCTAAAGTACAGCAAAAACTGTAACATTTTGAAATATTTTTTACTATTTAAAGTAAAGTATTGTTTTCTATTTGAATACATTTTAAAATGTAATGTATTCCTGTGATTTCAAAGCTGAATTTTTAGCATCACTACTCTAGTCACATGATCCTTCAGAAATCAATCTAAAAAAAAAGTATTATTATTGTTGAAAACAGCTGAGTAGTATTTTTTCAGGCTTCTTTGATGAATAGAAAGTTCAGAAGAACAGCATTTGTCTGAAATAGAAATCTTTTATAAACATTATATTATATAAACATTATAAATGACATTATCATCACTTTTGATCAATTTAAAGCATCCTTGCTAAATAAAAGTATTAATTTCTATCATTTCTTTACCAAAAAAATGAATGGTACAATGTTACAAAAGCTTTTTATATCAGATAAATGCTGATCATTGGATCTTTCTATTCTTCAAAGAATCCTGAAAAAATGTACTCAACTGTTTTAAATATTGATAATAATAATAATAATAATAAAAATATTTCTTGAACAGCAAATCAGCATATTAGAATGATTTCTGAAGGATAATGTGACACTGAAGACTGGAGTAGTGATGCTGAAAATTCAGGTTTGATCACAGGAGTAAATCATATTTTAAAATATATTCAAATAGAAAGCAGTTATTTTAAATAATAAAAATATTTCACAACATTACTGCTTTTGCTGTATTTTGGATCAAATAAATGCAGGCTTGGTGAGCAGAAGAGAATTATTTAAAAAACATTAAAAACGGTTCAAAAACGTATGGCTGGTAGTGTATAATGACATATTACTCAGTTACAGCTAAAGCAAACAGGCATTACGCCCATGTAAGGTGAGGACAGGGTCATCCTGTACAGTGTCAATAGTCAACACAGTCACAAGCCAATAGTGGCTGAAGCAGCTAAACAGGCTTTTAAACCTGCTTTAGAACATTTCAAAGGTCTTGACATTTTAATAATTGTGCTTTACACAGAAACAGAAGAGTTCACTCTTCTAAGAACTGATGTTGAACAATGTATTGTAGAGGTTGACCGATATGTGTTTTCTCTGGCCGATGCCGATATTTAGAAATCAGGGCAGCCGATGGCCGAGCGATGACATCGCGGAGGCTACTGTCGGACCCACAGACACATTTCATGACGTTATAATCAGCCCAAAAGTTTCGTCTGAATTGTTTCTACTTTCACATGCAAATGACTTGCTGAACTTATGAATATGATAAGCACGGTCGGCATCAAATCTAGTAGGATAATCTGATCATATATCGTATCATATCTTGGAGACGTCTATTTGACGTCTGCATTTACATCTGGAAGATGTATTTTTTACAGTGTTTGCTCATCTGCAATACGTCTATGGGATGCTTTCTATCAGATGTCAAATAGATGTCTTTAAGATGTTTATGATTTAGAATGTATGTAAAACTGACATCTTACAGACGTCTGTCAGATGTTTATACATAGCAGATGCTTTCCAGATCAAGTGATCTTTAACAGACATCTTGTAGACGTACGTGTGCTATCTTAAAACGTAGTCTCAGCCTCAGACGTCACACCCACGGACCGTTGGCTTCAGCCGTCAGTCTGAAGGTCTGGCTACGTGAGATTTACGCTTTCGAAACGGTCTGTTTTGCCCTGCCATCATTAGCTGAAGCTATATGTGAATAAGGCGCGACTGCAGAGTGTGAGCTGCTCACTGTTGCCAACTCTCGCGAGACAAATAAGCAACCGAAGCTTCAAAAACAAGCCCAATATTTTTTAATGATTTATTATCATCAATATTATTTATTATCAATTACTTATTACCAATAAATGAGCCTGCAACATATTAAATTGAAACTACTCTTTTATCTAAAAAGTAAAAACAGAAGTTATTTTACAAACATCAAAGTTGGAACAATACTCATCTCCAATCACCTGTGAGCAGAATAGGATTAGAGAGATGGAAAAGGAGAAGAACACAAGAGCTTCAATGGGGAGCTGTAACATAGTCACATATCTATCGCCTAATAAAATATATTCAAACCAAAAGTATATACTGTATATATTACTATAAGCCTACTTTTTTTTTTTTATTACAGCCCATGATAATACATTAAAAAACATTGTAAAAATTAACTTATAAAAGAAAGTCATCCCACTCCTCTATTACGTCTACTATCATCACTTGGATTACAGCGTCACGCTCTTTCTTTTTGAACATGATGGGCGGAATATTTGATGAATTACACTACAGCACTAGTATTATTGCACCAACTGGCCTTTAACTGTGAGCAGACAGTTAAGAGTGTCAATCAATGCATTGGAGAATATGGCGAGCATAAAGGTAAAGAAACTAAGTTGCTTGTCAGATTTTCCTAACAAGCAACCATATTTTTTAAAAGAAGCCCCAAAAAAATGTTTTCACGCAACTTTACAAAAAAAGAAGCCCAAAGTTGCGTTTAATAAGCGGATTTGGCAACCGTGGAGCTGCTCCGTCTCATGCAGCCAGAGGGAGAGGGATTCTCCGGTACAGCTGCGCCTGCCTATAAATTTGCAGCACAATCGGCTGATGCCGATTAATTAAAAAAATGCCCAAAATCGTCCCGATTAATCGGCCAGCCGATCAATCTAGCCTCCTAAGTATCAATAACACATGTCTTTTAGCTTTGAAATAAAAACAGCACTGCCTAAACCTGTCTGTTTATTTCTTAACTGTAACTGTATGATTGCAACAGCGTATCTGATGTGAAATAAGCTGTCAGATATACTTCAAAAACAGCTAAATCATGTCCTTAGATGATCTCGACGTCAGCTGTGGTCACTCAAGAACACAGCCTACCAATCCAAACTCCACTTCCTGTTTGATAAGGCCCGTCGAGCAACACAAAACCCCCTGATTTCTCACCTTGAAGTACTTCCATGGGTAAAACTATCCATGCATTCTCTAGGTAGGAGATGTACAGATAGCGTGCGGTGTTACAGGCCAGTCCGATATAAAGGACTCTAAAAAAAAGAACACAATCATGTAATACTTGAATGTCATATTTCATTCATGCACGTGAAACAATGCTTTTCTGTACAATGAAAATGCCACACTGGGTGTAGCTAAACCTGTTTGGTTTATAAGGCCTATTGTAGTTAAGGCTGGGAGTTGCATTTGCTGGTGATGTCAGTCTCTATTCTGACGCCCAAATGAATGACTCACTCTGTCTTATGTACGAGCTGTGAGCGTGACCGCACAAGATCTCGCCAGTGCTAATCTACAAACACTGAATCTCCAACAGGAAAAAACAACGTTAATGTCATTAATGCCAGTTTAATTTGAATGTTTTTTCCTGGAAAACCAATCTAATGAGAGCGCTGGTGCTTTAAAATGAAGCGTCTCATTTCTCTGCTACTGGCATCACTAAGCATAAATTATAGTCTGCATATATTTTCTAAATGCATGTTAGTGTTGTTATTGTGAACAATTCATCCATTTAATTCATTCATATTTATGTTTTTAACTAGCAATTTTTAATTAAAACATCATAACACAGGTGGCATCTCCGAACATTCAGTTTGCTTAAACCCCACCCTTTTTTATGATCACCTGCAAGCTCAGATTGATAATAAATATATTGAAAAAAAGTACCTGTCCTACATTTTTTTCTTTTCCAATAATCCTTTTAACTGAGATGTACGTCAAATTACAGAAGAAAGGTCTGTTGCTACTTCCGTTTCAACGCAACTTTAAATAGAATAATGATTTCCAAACAGGTTTCCTAAACACTCTCCCTCTCTGCCATTGGTTGAACAAATACATAGCCCCACCCCAAACTCACACCATTGGTTGAGTCAGTGTTGCTGTTGTCGGACTTGTCAGGAAGCTTGACAGACCAATGTTTTGCACCACAGTGTTTACACATTTTGAAGGAATCAACTCACTTACAGTTGAGCTGAATTTACTACAAAATTATATTACATGAACTATAAAAAAGTGAAAACCTAGCAAATTGTTTTAGAATTATAACCAACAATCTGTGTAACTGGAATGAACATCAAAATACAGAAGAAAAGATCTAGCGCTACTTCCATTTCATCAAAACATTAATTAAAATAACGATTGTTTCCAAATAGGTTTCCTAAACAATCTCCCTGTCCACCATTGCTTATACAAACACATAGCCACACCCCAATCTCACGCCATTGGTTAAGTCAGCATCACTGTTGTCGGGCTGGTCAGGAAGCTCAAACAGAGCAATGTTTTGCTCCACAGTGTTTACACATTTTGGGGGAATCAACCTACTAATGGCTTACTTATAGTTGTGTGCATTTTAAGCATACTAACACCAAAAAAACTACACAAAAACCTTTAAACAGGAGCTTTTAAACTGCTTTTTCCATGCAACTACATGCAAGCTCTGGGAGATAGCCATGCAAATGTTGACTCTACAAACTACAGAGAACATTTCACTGTACACTATTTTGGCTCCACCACACCCTTTGCCTTTAGAAAGCTTTAGAATTGATCCACAAAAGAAGCAAGCTCAGTGGATCAATGCTGGAAAGCCTAGACCAGTGTTTCCCATGCAGACAGAAACAATACTGTACTACATTGATGTTTCCTGTCGGCTAAATTTTTGAGTGGACTTTGCTGTTCTGATTCGCATGAACGGTATATGAGTGGAGCGACTTTCAGAGCGCACATGCATAGAGCGGGATAATACGCAGAGCGTCACACAACGTGAAAGTGAAACCTGAGCGGTGAACTAATTTTCGGCAGCCGGAATTTCGGTGCATCTCTAATTATTGACGACATCAGAAATGGATATTATATAATAGATGCTTTTTTTTTAACATTTTAGCAATTTAAAAATATAAAAAAATGATGTTTTTACACGGCACCCCTGCTCTCGACAGACGGCACCCCGGTTGGGAAACACTGGCCTAGACAATGTGTGATGGGGCTAATGGCAGGATAAAGTTACAGGCCTCTCTGCAGTCATGACTGAAAATAGGCCACTTAACAAAGACTACAGAGACAAAACTGAAGGTATATCACATGGATGAACAAAACATCTTCATCTCCATAAGAAGATTTTATAAATGATTTTCAAAATGTAGAATACAATAATTTATTACTAATTTATATTTTAAGAACTATAAAAATAAAAATGTAGCAAATTGTTTTATACTTATATAAAATATAATATATAAAATGTTATACAATAAATGTTACTATAAAATTACATCTATGAGATATAAAGTCACGCTGTGAAATTTGAAGTAAAAATTGTGAGATAAGTCACATTATGAAATATAAGGAAACAATTGTGATATATAAAATCACACTGTGAGATAAAGTCACACAGTGTGAGATATTAAATCACATCGAGATAAAAAAGTTACACAGTGAGAAATCACAATTGTGAGATATAGTATCTTTGTGAGATATTTAGTCATAGCAGAAGCAGTTCTGCAAGTTTCACCACCTCAAATCCATTAGATTTTATGACTTTTTTATTTAACAAAAATCAAGTTGTAATATTCTCAATTTAAATGCTCAGTGTGGTAAGCCAGAAAATATATTTTGTATAGAGCTGCAGTTCTGTTACGCAGCAGAATTACAATGCCTGCAGATGCAGTTTGCTGCTAACTAATCAGCTTTTCACAAAACAGCATCTGTCGACAAACATAGCAGTTTCAGTGGTCACTGAAACTGTTGTTTGAGGGTTCTGTATCACAAAACATCTGCTAAATGCTACCAGTTAACATAATAAAAAATGCAAAGACTGAGCCACCAGTACAACTTGAGCTATCTTAAAGGGGTCCTATTATGCTTTTTGACTTTTTCAACTTGGTAAAATATGTGAAAAATAATGTGTTTTTCGAACAACCTAGTACGAGAGCCTAGTACACCCCAAAACAAAATCAAGACTTTGTAAAAGAGCATAACAGGACCCCTTTAAGGTGATTCATCTTGTTCACTCGGATGAGCAGGTGCTCTGGGAAATACCACACACTTGAGAAATACCACAAAGCAGATTGAGGATGTGAGCAAACCTTTCCATGTGCCTGTATACCAGTGCCCACATACACATGGTAAACATCCTGGAAAAGGGTGGCCTGCATCTTGGTTGTACATTGTGTGCCCAGGCTAGGCAGTGCCCGTTTAGAGCTTAGCCAAAGTCAACAATACTTAATGAGATACATTAAACAACCTTTGGACTTTCTGAGTGAGCCTAATGTACACCACTATGCCAAAAATATGCCAGTCTATATGTGTTAACACAGACATGGCACAAGAAATAAGTGCATTTACATCACTTTTGACCGGATGCTCTTGGTCGTATTCTCATAAAATATTGAGCAACCAGGATATGGTAACCATTACATGAAGGCGGTGCTTGGGCACAGGTCCAAAATACATAAAGTACCATACTAAAATAAAATGGTTGGCTCCGCCCATACAAAGATTTGCTCAACACTAAACCCTGAGCATATATGAGGGTATAGCTTTTGTGAACATCAGAGGCCACCTGTCTATGATATACCAAATGCATAGTAGATTGTTCAACTGAATATCAATACATCAGTAAATCTAGTAAAACCCAAGCAATCTTTTAAAGCAATCGGAATGTATTGACAACATCAGGAAAAATATACCTTTCCATGCACTTTAAACTAAACTTACAATTCTAAAAATAAAAGCTAATTTAAAATTGTAATAAATACTACAAATATAAATAACACTATTATTTATATAACTATATACTAAAAAATACTGCTTCCGAAGATGTTTTCTTCATGGCTGTGGCTACCAATAGATTTTTAATAGAATTAATATATATTAATATATTTTCTGGTAAAACTGCAACCAAGCAGTTCATTCATCCTGCCCAATTTTTGGACAACAATTAAAATACTTAATTGAGCTATGTTTTGATTGGGTACGGTTTAAAGAAACAACTACTGTATGACTGGCAACATAGAAGGGTGTTCACAATGACAGCGGAATCTTCATAGGCGTCTTATGGGTTCACACAGGATGCATTCTTAAGAACAACTTAAAAACATGGGGCTAAAAGTAAGCAAGACATGATGCACCAGTTAAAGACATCATCTAATGCATGTTTACGTAGAAAAATAATTAAAAGCAGCAGAATAGAACACAAAAATGCTTTCTGTGTGAACTGGCTCTCACTTGACCTTAGTCTCCAACTCTATCAAGTGGCAGAACATGATCTGCACTTCCATTAGTTGCCGCTGCTCATTTGCATAAAAGTTGAAGTGTGCACAATTGTCTACTCTCACTGAAACTGACTGACTCTTGGTTTCTACAAATTGCTTTCAGTGTGAATGTCCCAAATAACAGGAGAAGCCTCGGCCAACCACTTGCATTGGAAGTGGACTAAACAGACATACAAGCGGTAAGTGGTTATCCTACTTTGTCTAGCACATGCAAACCTGCCTTTAAACAAATCAAATATGATTTCTAAATGCGAGTTATGTCATTAAATTAATACTCATAATCCAAGCCCCTACTTTCCAAATAGAAAAACCTTCAATACAAGTGCAGTTTAGTATAAAATATGCCATATATTTCACATAATTAGGTTCCCACCTGATGTGTCCAACAAGCTCAATGAGTTTGTGGCTGATGAAATAAGCGGCCAGCTCAGACACGTGACTGAGCACCGAGCAGATGCCAAAGAGAGTGGTGGTGCCCTTCAGGTCCTCCAGATGCCAATAGAGGAAGGTGAACACGAAACCGTAACCAAACCCCATGAACCAGGCCACAAAGAGAACCGTACCATACCGGATGCCACAAATGGTCCGGAAGAGATCTTTGAAGGGAAAAGGTTGCGGGTTGCTTTCTGGGCAAATGGGTGCATCATCTGGGCTGGACTCTGGAGACGAGACTTCCTGAACGACTTGAGGTATTTCCACATCCTCCTTCTTGTCCTCTTCCTCATCTGACTGATAAACCCTGTTGTCAAAGTGGAACTGCGTCGCCACTATCAGCGCTGACATCATCAGGACTCCAAAAACGATGAACGCAATTTGGTAGTTCTTGTAGATGGGCAGGACACAACCCGAGCCCTGGATGAAGATAGTGATGTGCGTGTGGTCGATCCAAATGCCCACTGACAGCATAGCGATACCCCATCCCAGAGATCCCCACATTCTCTGGAGTCCATAACGATCTCGGTGTTGTCCCAAGTACTGAAGAGTGACGGTGTCCACAATGGTCACAGCCGGGGCGCTGAAGAACTCACCAATGATAATGACCAAGAGGATCAAGAGAAATATCGTATCTACTTGTTCCTTATTAAAAACTATGAAATACTCTTTGAGTTTGGCAGTGGTAGCTTGTGTTTCAATTGTCGAGGTAGATTTTGATGTTACTGTCGAGGTACGGGGCGACGCTGTTGACGAGTTAGACAGCATAGTAATGCCGACAGGATTCTCTGTGGAGTTTCCAGAGGGAGTGCTTGTGGTATTCACATTTGCACTTCGAATGTATCTAGAGTGAGGTCCATATGCTGCTAATATTGGCTGAGAAAGCGGAGGAGCAGAGTACACATCCTCAATCAAGTATCTTCTTTGTCTGGTATGGTTACTAGTTTGCGTATAGTTTGTCAAATTGCTTGGTGTCGCAACAGTAGGGTCCTTACTGACACAGGTCATAGCTGCTGGCTTGACAAAGCCGATACCGCAGTTAAAGAACACCCAGCAGAGTACAGAAAACAGCAACACCGCCTTCCCTTTCTTGTAGCGGTCCGCCACTACTCCCCAGAAAGGCGCACTGCAGAACTCTATAAAATAACGGATCCCAACTAGCAGGCCACTTTGGCTGGGTGTCATTCCCAGCTGCTTGTAGTACACAGCAAGCAGGGGGTGTAAAGAGCCATATGCGGAGTAAAAGAAGAAGTAGAAGACCTTGGAAATCAAGAGATGATTGTCTATTCGCACACAGCACCTCTCTGTGCAGTCCATATTCTGAGAGGGCTGAGAAGGGTGTGTGTCAGTGGGGGCAGGCGGTGCTGTTTGACCGGATGGTGTAGTGTTTGCCACCTGCCCCAGGGACAGAGTGTTAAATGGTTCAGACAGAACATATTTCCTTTTCTGGTCCTCCTCATCATCCGTAAGGATGGCCACCCGATCACTCGCCATTTCTGTGAGATAGACATAAACATCTGTTAAGGACATTGGATAATGTCTTCACATTATAGCTTTAACTAGCAATTTTCAAATGTTGGGGCATAACCATTTGGTCAAGATTTGGCTGTTTTTTGGGGCCATTTAGTTGGCAAATCCCATAACATTACCTTGAAGAACAAAAAAAACAAACATATTTTCCATTGACTGACACTGAGAATTCTGGTTCTTTTTTTTTTTTTTTTTTGCTAGCAACAAATTAATTGTAAATATTTCCCAGTTTTACAGTACATATTTTGATGTTTTATGAGATATTTTTTTCCTTGTCTGCTGTCTTTCACATCATATTATGTGACCTTGAAGAGGTTGAGACATTCTTGCTCAGCCAATCAGCTTTGTCATGATGTCATTTTCCTGCACCTCTGATTAGGTACCTTGCATTTATGGGTCAGGTGATTGGCTCAAAAAAATAAGAAATAAATAAAAATAACCCAAAACAACAACAACAACAAATAATCCTATGCAAAGTGTCCATGAACAAAGATAGCCGATTTATAAACACATACTTATGGGCTCATAATGTTCATAATGCAATGCTCATTAAGCATAATAGGCCATTATCTAAAATGATCTAATTATCTATTATAAAAATAAAAACGGTAGAAAAATAAACTTCCAGTATGTTTTCTTTGTGATGTCAAAGCATGTAAATCATACTAATGTATTTTATGTGTTAAAATGGTCTATTTTTCTATTCACCCATGCTAATAATTTGCATATCATTGTCTATATAGCTCATACGAATACTGATACATTTCAGTGTTTAATATTAAGTACATAATTGCTTACTTTTGTGCATTAAACAGTTCTGATACAGTCACCAGTCACTCTATGTCCAATGAAGCAAAACAGTTCATTTTTTAATTTCAAGTTAGACTAATGGATTTTTTTTTTACCTGATTCTAAATCTAAGTTTACATAAGAATGCAACACACCTTTTGTCATCATATAGATTGACCTTAAACAAAATCAATTCAGTAACTGCCCTTGACTCACAATAATAAAGAATAAATATAATTACACATCAAGTTAATATAATGTTGAATATCAGGTAGTATTAGTAAAAACTACATTCTTAGGAATACAATTAAGAGGTGGAGGTTTTGGGCTGTGGAATGAAATTAAGGACACAGTCAACATTCAAAACGGTAACATCATAATAAACTTCACAGGGTGTAGTCCCTTCTGAAGATGAGTAACACACAGCCTAGCCTGTATTAACAGTGCATATTGCACAAACACAATGCCTACATGTAGTTACAAACACAACTGATCATCCATTATTTTTCTTGTACAATGTTTCAGTATAAAACAGGCAGCGGTGTGGCTCACTTACCCGGTTGTTGTGTGGAAGTTTATGTTATTTCACCGTCTGGCGTTGGAGGACGATCCCTTCAACAGACTGCTCTCTCCGTCCAGTCATCATTTTATCACCATCCTGGATTTTTGCTCACTTTCTATGAGCAATCCTCAAACAGCGATGTATTCCGGTAGAGCAAAGGAGCAGGTTTATTGCACGGCTGTTTACATCCGACCTGACGTCAATCTCTCACCTGCCTGCGATGAGCGCAGCGGCAGTGTGTTTGTGGCACTGCCCTCATTTCCACTGATGTCATTAGCAACTGTGACACCCTATTTCGTTCTTCAGTTCCTGAAATGGTGTTTTAAATTGAACGTTTTCCGTATAGTATTTGCCCAAGAGCAGATGCCATGTCTAAGATCAGTAAAATGTTGATGATGTTTAGGATTTGTAATTAATCAAAATAGGCTGTAGTATAGTTTATATTAACTTCTAGGTGGAGTAAAACACTTCTGTATGAACCACTTATTTTAATATTTCTATTTTTAATATATTTTTTTTCTTGTTAGAAATAGCAAACCCATTTATTTTGACCAGCGAACTCATCCAGTAGCCATGCAACAAACCAGCTCTAGAGATTGTGATAAAACAGCGACATCTACTGGCGCTCAATAAAGTTCAAATGAAATACTTGACCTGAAATACTTACAAAAAGCAGCTACCAATACTTTCAGTAGTTATTTTAATACATAATATCTAAATATTAATCTAACCTGTCTCGTATTTTCTGCCACAAAACACTGTCAATCAGAATGACTGACAGCATCAAACTTGAACATATACATTTAGGCTACAATAAATATAAGCATTAAAAACTTACAAAGCATTACAATACAGTATACATACAAGCTATTAACAGCAGCTTTAATTAAATATTCCGCTACAAAAAAAAAGAAGAGCCTAAGTTCTAGGACTCAAATCTGTGAGTCATTTTGTTATCTGTTCATTTTCATGAACCGCCCGAAATTGATTCTCTAGAATGAATCATACTTCCCAGCGCTACATGAAAAACAGAACCGAGTATGAGGAACCGATTCACCGAGATGAATTTCCAACGCAACATATGAGAGCGAAGACCGAACAGAACGAATCGATTCGCCAGAATGAACGTCTGATCGACGTCAAAGGCCTTGCGTCCTATCAAACGAACGCAATTTGGCGCAAATTAAATTCACCTTAGAAGCTAAAGAAGAAGGCAGTTAGGCCGACACCAACACGGAAAGCAAATGTGATATTTCTTCATCCTCGAAAACGTTCAACAAAACTTAACAAGGTAAAAAAATCTTATCTAGACTACGTTAAATATGGGTTCACTCGCAACGAGGATAAGTTTGATATTGAAACTTCGCGTTGCTAACCTGTAACGTAACTCTCAAATAACGCCACAATGAAAAGAGACATGTAACCAAATAAGGTATTTTACCTTTAACATACGTTTAGGTTAAAAAATGGCACAGATAAAATGGTCTGATATGTTTACATGTAAATTAGCTAATGTACATAATTTGCATGAACGCTCAAAACTAGTCAAAAAATAAAATGTATACCCGTCATACAAGCAGGATGAACGATACAGGCTATTAATTGAAAATGTAATATTTAATTGCTTTGAACTAGCTTATGTAATATTTATTTAAACAGTGTACTAGCATTTTTAAACATGCAACATTGTACAGTTTACCTTATTCAGGACTCCATACAGCTGTTAACTGCCTGTATCCAAGTGGTATTTATGATGCTTACTGAAGAATCTGTGAATGGCTTTTTATAAGCCAGGGTTTAGATGTGCATCTCATAGTAATCTTTACACAGCTACACACACACTGGCACATATGCGTATGGTTACAGTACTGTGTGTGCGCCTGTATGAGACAAGATGTCTTTCTAGTCGAAAGGGCATTTTACATTCATCATGTGCTCAACATGAAGTGCTGTTTTGCTTTGAAAACACTTTCAAGGTATAAACCTGCACTCTCCTAAATGGCCTTGATGGTGATACTGTATGCATACCATCTAATATGAGTAATGCAGGGCTTACATAGACAATAAGGCTAATGATTCAAAAAGAAAAGCAGTCACAAGCCATGCACTCAGATTATATAGCCTGTTGTAAAACCAAATAAATAGTTGCCTTTGATAATGGATGCTGATTTTATCTTACAAAATGGTGTATTGATTAAATGTGTCAAAGCCATTATTATTGCTTCTCTAGTTTGAGTCTTAACTGATGTATCGGTTTTATCTGAATTAGAGTCGCCTAAGTTTTTACTGGAAGTTGACTTTATTGTGCATGTGATAAAAGTCACAATTTTTTGGGGAGAAAAACTTTGACTTGCTAGCACAATATATTAGTTGTCGATTAACTTCAAATTGTTTTTATTGTTCTGATGTAAAGGTCAAAAATACTATCCAATTTCATAATGACCACTAATAAATCTGCTAGATTATGGGAATGTTTCTGTATGTTTCTGTACACTGATCTGTCAAAATTTCTCTATTTTTGTATTCCGCAGAAAAATGAAAGTCGTACAGCTTGGGAACAAAACGAGGGTGAGTAAATGATGAAAGAATTCTTATTTTTGGGTTAACTTTACCTTTAAATGTGAAAGAATTGTTTGGATTCTTCCAAGGCTTTTTAACTCCCCCTAAATCATATATAAACATGTTAAAATGAGTGATTACTAGTTTTTAAAAATCATTTTATAGAGACTAAGTGTCTAGATGATGAAGTATTTTAGAGCTGTAAATAACTACAAGATTTATATACACTATAACTCATATTGTGAGTATCATATTTTCAGTGCATTTGAGATTTATCTGTAAAATGTTAAAGAATGGCTTATATTTTGCTATTTTTTGTTATATAAAATTAAGGACACAGTCAACATTCAAAACGGTAACATCATAATAAACTTCACAGGGTGTAGTCCCTTCTGAAGATGAGTAACACACAGCCTAGCCTGTATTAACGGTGCATATTGCACAAACACAATGCCTACATGTAGTTACAAACACAACTGATCATCCATTATTTTTCTTGTACAATGTTTCAGTATAAAACAGGCAGCGGTGTGGCTCACTTACCCGGTTGTTGTGTGGAAGTTTATGTTATTTCACCGTCTGGCGTTGGAGGACGATCCCTTCAACAGACTGCTCTCTCCGTCCAGTCATCATTTTATCACCATCCTGGATTTTTGCTCACTTTCTATGAGCAATCCTCAAACAGCGATGTATTCCGGTAGAGCAAAGGAGCAGGTTTATTGCACGGCTGTTTACATCCGACCTGACGTCAATCTCTCACCTGCCTGCGATGTGCGCAGCGGCAGTGTGTTTGTGGCACTGCCCTCATTTCCACTGATGTCATTAGCAACTGTGACACCCTATTTCGTTCTTCAGTTCCTGAAATGGTGTTTTAAATTGAACGTTTTCCGTATAGTATTTGCCCAAGAGCAGATGCCATGTCTAAGATCAGTCAAATGTTGATGATGTTTAGGATTTTTAATGAATCAAAATAGGCTGTAGTATAGTTTATATTAACTTCTAGGTGGAGTAAAACACTTCTGTATGAACCACTTATTTTAATATTTCTATTTTTAATATATTTTTTTTCTTGTTAGAAATAGCAAACCCATTTATTTTGACCAGCGAACTCATCCAGTAGCCATGCAACAAACCAGCTCTAGAGATTGTGATAAAACAGCGACATCTACTGGCGCTCAATAAAGTTCAAATGAAATACTTGACCTGAAATACTTACAAAAAGCAGCTACCAATACTTTCAGTAGTTATTTTAATACATAATATCTAAATATTAATCTAACCTGTCTCGTATTTTCTGCCACAAAACACTGTCAATCAGAATGACTGACAGCATCAAACTTGAACATATACATTTAGGCTACAATAAATATAAGCATTAAAAACTTACAAAGCATTACAATACAGTATACATACAAGCTATTAACAGCAGCTTTAATTAAATATTCCGCTACAAAAAAAAAGAAGAGCCTAAGTTCTAGGACTCAAATCTGTGAGTCATTTTGTTATCTGTTCATTTTCATGAACCGCCCGAAATTGATTCTCTAGAATGAATCATACTTCCCAGCGCTACATGAAAAACAGAACCGAGTATGAGGAACCGATTCACCGAGATGAATTTCCAACGCAACATATGAGAGCGAAGACCGAACAGAACGAATCGATTCGCCAGAATGAACGTCTGATCGACGTCAAAGGCCTTGCGTCCTATCAAACGAACGCAATTTGGCGCAAATTAAATTCACCTTAGAAGCTAAAGAAGAAGTCAGTTAGGCCGACACCAACACGGAAAGCAAATGTGATATTTCTTCATCCTCGAAAACGTTCAACAAAACTTAACAAGGTAAAAAAATCTTATCTAGACTACGTTAAATATGGGTTCACTCGCAACGAGGATAAGTTTGATATTGAAACTTCGCGTTGCTAACCTGTAACGTAACTCTCAAATAACGCCACAATGAAAAGAGACATGTAACCAAATAAGGTATTTTACCTTTAACATACGTTTAGGTTAAAAAATGGCACAGATAAAATGGTCTGATATGTTTACATGTAAATTAGCTAATGTACATAATTTGCATGAACGCTCAAAACTAGTCAAAAAATAAAATGTATACCCGTCATACAAGCAGGATGAACGATACAGGCTATTAATTGAAAATGTAATATTTAATTGCTTTGAACTAGCTTATGTAATATTTATTTAAACAGTGTACTAGCATTTTTAAACATGCAACATTGTACAGTTTACCTTATTCAGGACTCCATACAGCTGTTAACTGCCTGTATCCAAGTGGTATTTATGATGCTTACTGAAGAATCTGTGAATGGCTTTTTATAAGCCAGGGTTTAGATGTGCATCTCATAGTAATCTTTACACAGCTACACACACACTGGCACATATGCGTATGGTTACAGTACTGTGTGTGCGCCTGTATGAGACAAGATGTCTTTCTAGTCGAAAGGGCATTTTACATTCATCATGTGCTCAACATGAAGTGCTGTTTTGCTTTGAAAACACTTTCAAGGTATAAACCTGCACTCTCCTAAATGGCCTTGATGGTGATACTGTATGCATACCATCTAATATGAGTAATGCAGGGCTTACATAGACAATAAGGCTAATGATTCAAAAAGAAAAGCAGTCACAAGCCATGCACTCAGATTATATAGCCTGTTGTAAAACCAAATAAATAGTTGCCTTTGATAATGGATGCTGATTTTATCTTACAAAATGGTGTATTGATTAAATGTGTCAAAGCCATTATTATTGCTTCTCTAGTTTGAGTCTTAACTGATGTATCGGTTTTATCTGAATTAGAGTCGCCTAAGTTTTTACTGGAAGTTGACTTTATTGTGCATGTGATAAAAGTCACAATTTTTTGGGGAGAAAAACTTTGACTTGCTAGCACAATATATTAGTTGTCGATTAACTTCAAATTGTTTTTATTGTTCTGATGTAAAGGTCAAAAATACTATCCAATTTCATAATGACCACTAATAAATCTGCTAGATTATGGGAATGTTTCTGTATGTTTCTGTACACTGATCTGTCAAAATTTCTCTATTTTTGTATTCCGCAGAAAAATGAAAGTCGTACAGCTTGGGAACAAAACGAGGGTGAGTAAATGATGAAAGAATTCTTATTTTTGGGTTAACTTTACCTTTAAATGTGAAAGAATTGTTTGGATTCTTCCAAGGCTTTTTAACTCCCCCTAAATCATATATAAACATGTTAAAATGAGTGATTACTAGTTTTTAAAAATCATTTTATAGAGACTAAGTGTCTAGATGATGAAGTATTTTAGAGCTGTAAATAACTACAAGATTTATATACACTATAACTCATATTGTGAGTATCATATTTTCAGTGCATTTGAGATTTATCTGTAAAATGTTAAAGAATGGCTTATATTTTGCTATTTTTTGTTATATATATATATATATATATTTTTTTTTTTTATATATTTACATTTTTATAATTTCTGTTGTAATTTTAAAGTTTTAATAGTTTTGTTGTGTGTTATTGTAATGTTTATAATTATTTATGTCTATAAAGATTTTATTTTTTTCAGTTTTAATTATTTTGGAACATCAAGATCAACTAAATTAAAATGAAAAATAAAATGTTGAAATAAAAAGATTTTCTATATTATATTTGATTTTGGTTATAGTTTATTTTATTTCAAGCAACAGATTTATTTATTTATAAAGGTTTTAGTTTAAGTGAACTATAATAACCATGATGTCTTGAATCCTGATACTGCTGTTCAGTGTCCATATTATCACATCACACATTTTAGGGAACTTTTGAATTCTTCCACCAAAAATTAAGTTGACTTATATTTGGTCATTGTTAGTCTTGTTTTGGGAATCGCTATATCTAACTGCTGATTTATTCAAGCTGAATATGAGAAATGTTATCTCCAGTGGGCAGCTTCTATCCTTAGTGACATCACTGAGGAAACACCCTAATTATGAGGGTATCTTTTCAACCAGCAGGGGGCGATGTTTTACACGCACACCAGACGCTCCACTCATCACGGCATCACAGCGCTCTCCTTCCAGCTTTAAGTGAGACTCGACCACACGTAAGTGTAACTCTTCTATTCATTGTTGTCCATTAACGTCATCATTCTTGTCACCAGTGTCACTATGCCTGCCATTCATCCACGCCTTTTCCAGTCATTTCAGCCCCTAAAACAGTGTCCAGCTGAAACATCTGCTATCTCCCCTATTGTGTTAGAATAGTAAAGTGTTGTATCTGCCTCCCCTGTTCCCTCCCACTCACTCAGAGACCTGTGCACCATCCAAACATTTGCTCTCAATTCAGCAATCCAGAGCGCGATGCTGTTTCTATGACAACTGGGTCCTGCAGGACAAACTGCAGAGAGGATTTTCCATTCAAAGAGGGTTCCAAGGAGAAGGCACATGCTTAGCATGAAATTCAGCCCTCTGAAATATTTTACTTGTTTCTGATCTCATTTTAAAGTAGGGAAAATGAACATCAGTCATCTGTTGAACGTACTAGAGGGTTGGCGGTTTGTGAACACTCTGCTGGTGTTAAACGTATCTGAGGTAAAACATTCACAAAGCTGTGAAAACTGTCATATTGTACATTTTATACAAATCTGTATAAATAGCCCTGATACATGCATTATATTGTATCATTGGATACAATATTATTTCGAGTTATGAACTTGATGTTTACTGTACACATTTAATTAATTAGTGATAGAATAATATATCATCCATGCTGATTGATCAGTCAGTGTTTGAACTTTTTGAATTAATTGCATAGGCAGCTAACTGCTGCTGAATGAACAAAATCCAATTAATATAAAAAATCTCTCTCTCGCTCTCTTTTATATTTGAATAAATGAGTGTTTAACACCAGCAATTGTGTACATCTTATTTGCTGTTATAAAATAGTAATTTATAAAGTTTTTGTGTGTGTGTGTGTATATATATATATATATATATATATGAAGAGTTTATGTACAAAAAAACAGACAACTCCATTTTTTTTAAATTCCAAAAATCATGTTTTTTATTATGCTATCATGTTTTTATTGTGTTTTATTATGTTAGCGGTATTTTTTTGTTATTTTTTACCTAATCACAGTAACCCAACTGTTAAGCATTATTCTACATCTCTAGATGTACAATCATTGAAGTAGTCGACCACTACAGTTAATGAATATCGTATGTTGTCTTCATAATGTAGAACCATAAAACAGCTTGCATGTATACATAGTGTCCAGCAGATGGCAATCTATGTTTTATAGCAGCTGTTATTAGAGTTTTGTTTGGTTCTCATGGTCTTCTTTGGAATTTGCAAGATATCGTTGCATTGATTGTATTTATTTCTTTAATCCTGTTAACTATTTCCATCACTGATGAGATAATCAAATATCAACAGATTTTGAACTGAGGGATGTTTGGAAAATTATATTAATCCTTACAAGGCTTGAGTACTGAATCAAGAGAGAATTAAAAAAAAATCCCACTGCCAAGACTGAAACTGATGGTAGTGATGATGTCGATTCTTACTCAGCAGCTATCTTTGACATATGAATCAGAGCTTTATTCCGAACCCCTCCCTCATTAGGCCCCCATGTCATACTCTCTGAAGCTTGTGATTGGCTGTGAGTGCCAGGGGAGAAGATGAGGGGCTGGGCCAAAGCATCCGGGCTGTCCAAAACATTTGACCTATCAGGGTACAGCTGTTCCTTGATGACTTAGTGGGACTTGTCTGTCACCTCCCCGGGGTGACATGCGAGTGGAGGGAGGGGGCTAACTTGGAGGGCAAGGGGACGAAAGTCTGTGCACCGCAGGCACAGAGTTGGAAACCCATTGGAAATCCTGCAATTGAGTAATCACCTAAAGGATCCAGCGGTCATTTTTTTCCCTTAGATCCCGAAGAACTGGGGGACCTGAATCTGAGGGTGAAAAGCTGAGGCCAAATCTTCCAAAAGGCAACAGGGGTAGCTGCTAATGCAATATGATCCTCAGGGACTCGCTCTAAAAATACCATCCAGCCAGGAGTACAGGCGCAAGCTACATTCGCCTAATTGGATAAAGATTAAACATTTTGTTTTCAGATTCTCTAATTGGACATCTCAAGGATTTGAGAAACATATTCCAAAACATTTATGATGCAGAAAACCTGTGGGAAATTTCTACACACTTTTTTTTTGACATTTCTACTTGCCTGAAGGCCTTTCAGAAGGTTTTCTGTTAATGCACGTAGAGATTTTCACTTTTCTAAGAAGTCATATTATAAGTAAGTATTGCATTTAACTGGTGTTGATAACCTGGAGTGTAGTCTTGCATTTGATGATGTCTGCTTGAATGTTTGGAATATGTTTACCATATCAAAACTCCAAATTATGAAAAGCTCTTTTATTTTTGGACAATTTATTGTGCATTAGAGATACTTGAAGCTTCAATCAGTTTGGTAACGTGTAGCAGTCCGTAAAGAAGCTCTCCACTGGATCATGAGGAAAGCTGAGGTTCAGATGACCCTGAAGAAGGGTGCTGATGAAGAAGCAGGAGGAATGGCTCCTCCAAGTCCCAGGATACCATCAAAACGGGCAAAAGTTAGTTCAGATCAGGTCGTACCAGACCCTGCTGCTTCTGTCTACCCAACCCCAACTCCTCCAGTGTTTATCCGGAAGATGAGGAACGCTGCAGTAGGTACCGGCTGTGATATCCGTCTGAAAGTGGCTGTGGCTGGAGGCCCACAACCTACCCTCTACTGGTACCACAATGATGACCTGCTCAACATGGATAACCAGGAATACGGAGGCCTGTGGATCAGGGACTGCAAACCCAGTGATGCTGGCCTCTATACCTGCATCGCCACCAACCATCTTGGAGAGGTCAGAAGCAGTGCTGTCCTTGCCGTTTTGGATTTGGGTGAAGGTAACTACGAATGTAGCTATGTTAATGTAATACTAATGTTTCATTTTGAGAACTCAGACTACCTACAGCCTTGTAGAAATGACTGGAACATAAGATCCCCAACATAAGAACATTGTGCCCGATTATCAAGCTTATGTGGCTAATTATCGAGTTTAGGCTTCAGAAAAAAAGGTGGAATAATTTGCTAAAGGAGTAACACATCCCTCTGATGTGTCTCACAAAATGGTGGCTAATCCAATTACAGAAAATAAAGTGAAGTAGCCACTCCTCCTTCTTCAGTCACTTTGTTTGGTTGGGGTTCCATTGTGGCAGTTACCTCAAGGACCTGTTTGATGGAAGAGGGTGGAATGATGGGGGCAGCTGATGGGCTGAGACAAACTGCTCAACCGTCCCAAAGTAGAGCTGCGAAATTAAACCC